GACGGTACAAAGGGAGACCTGTTTGTTGCTGCTACAGAAGAAAATGGGGTGAAGTCGCAATGGGCCCTTGATCAACCTATCAGCATTCTGCCAGTACCTACTCAACCACAGGCTGCTTCGGTTCCTGTAGCGTATTCTCCTGTATACGCAACAGCACACGAAGAAAGTAGTCCTCAAAAGCGATCGGCTTTGACGACCCCAACTCCTAGCGCACCCGTGCAATACGCCTACGCTATGCCTGTGTCATCTAGTACTCCGGTTGAGACTACTGGCACTGCGGTATCGTACCCTTACGCCTACACAATGACTGCAACTGCTACTGCGTCTGAAACTCCTAAGTGTGAACATCAAACAAATACTGTACAGTACCCTTACCAGTTTCCCTACCACATGTTCTATCCCCATATGATGATGTCTGCTTACACCAATGCAATGAGCATACTCAAAGATGCAGGATTTAGTGAAGATTCAGCCAATTCAGTGATGGCCCATGCTTCACCTATGTGGTCGCCTACTTCGTACGCTTATCCAATGTACGTGATGATAGATCCTAAGCCTTGCGCTCAGGACGAAGCTACAACTACCACTCCAACTCCTACTTCTACTACTTCAAACACATCGGAAGAAGAAAATACACAATCATAAAAAATAATATCTAGATTAAAACTGTAAATTATTAATATTTATTTCATCTTTTAATAAAAATTTAAATTGAGCAGTTTTTTTATTTCCTACCAGCATGTCAACGTATTCGATTCAAACGTAAGCGTACATATCACTTAGTATCTACAATTTTAAAATAATTCTCTGGCACCTTTCAATCTCAAATGGGATAGGTTCAGAGATGCACTTTTTTTTAAGGGGGGAAAATCATCGAATGACTTCTCTCGCCTGGGTGAGGCGGGAGGGAGTGTCAGACTCTTACTGACTAAAAACCACCCCGTTCCTTTTCCTGCGCTTCGAGCCGGAGCCCCGGTAACCCGTTAGGTTCTCCGTGACTATGAATCGGCATCAGCCCTGTTGGGCCCCATCCGTGGTGGTCTGATGGCTCTTTGAGGCGCGCGCGGAACGCAACGCGCCGTACGCTCAGGTCTGGTTCTGGTCAGACGGTGAGCCACCCATGCTCACCGTCCCCAGGCCCGTTCAAAGATGCAGTTGCCTTTGTTTCAACATCCTTGTGCACTCGTAGTAGAAATGGAGCAAGTTGGTACTTTTCACGAAATATAAGTCCTAAGTTTATTTAGTATATCAGCGCCATCTACAGCTGCTCACAAGAACCTATCTCGGCATTTTAGCCGCAAGAAAATCATAACACTTTTATATTTTAAAATATAAATTGGCAAATTAATAATTCTGAAGGTCCAAATTAAGAATCCTAAAAATAGATAAACACTTAGATAATTCCGTTCCGTTCATCCGTACCATTCCATAGAGCAACACGGTCCGCCGGTGGCCTGTGTTGCTCTATGGTACCATTCTTTAGTTACCAAACGACAAAATCATATATTTTTATTTGAACCTGGTAACTTACTTTCTCATGTCATTTATGTCAGTTTGACAATAATAAAACGTGTTTGTGATGGAAACGGCGCAAATGAATAAACTGTAATATTTAAAGATTTTAAGTATATAAAACCAAGTGAATTACATCCATTTTTATATATCGAAGAACAACTAATTAACACAAAATGGTTTCCAAGAAAAAGAAGAAGGTATGTAAACAAGTTTCACAATGCGAAGTAACACGTGTTATAATATTACTCTAACCAATAAAATCTTAAATTATATTACAGTATTCATCGGGAGAAGGAGCACAGTTTATGACTAGGAAAGCAGCTCTGAAGAAACTACAGCTATCCCTCAAAGATTTCAGACGTATTTGTATATTGAAAGGTATATATCCGCGAGAACCACGCAATCGTAAAAGGGCTCAGAAAGGCGCAGGAGGCATCAAAACTTTATATCATACGAAGGACATAAAGTTCTTACTGCACGAACCTATAATATGGAAACTCCGGGAGTTGAAAGTAAGTACATAATTAACACGTACTACTGTGTGGCAATTATTTTGCCTACATATTGTGCAAGTCCTTATTAATAGTAACGTATTGTGTATCTTCTAGGTGTACCAACAAAAAATTCGTCGTGCAAGAGCTATGAGAGAATACAAAAACATGAAAAAGTACTTGCGAGACTATCCCGAAATAAACATAGATCACATCGTCAAGGAAAGATATCCAACATTTGTAGACGCTTTGCGTGACTTGGATGACTGCCTGACATTGTGCTTCTTATTCAGTACTTTCCCATCCTTAAAAAAGGTGCCAAGAGACCAGTCAATGCTGTGCAGGAGACTGACAGTTGAATTCATGCATGCCATTATTGCTGCAAAGGCACTGCGGAGAGTATTTGTATCTGTCAAAGGCTACTATTATCAAGTTGAACTTGAAGGACAAACTATAACATGGATTGTACCACATCACTTCTCTTTCCAGGTATGCTGTACTTTCATACTGATTCTTTACATTTTAACACCTAATTTACTTCTTGTGTCTATAATTCAAATAATTTTTATTTTACAGCCTCAAAACAAAGACGAAGTTGATTTCAAAATCATGTCAACATTTGTGGAGTTTTACACAATGATGCTTGGCTTTGTAAACTACAAACTGTATCATTCACTAAACTTAGTTTATCCGCCTAAACTGACTGCTGCATTCTCAGCTGATGACAAAGAGCTCATAGATGAACAAGCTTATGTAGCCGAGAGAATAGCAGCCATGAACTTGTCCTTAGCTAGGGTACCAGGTTCCAATGAAGCTGAAGAGTTGCCAGAAATGGACATTTTTGATACAGAGGATAATGATCCCCAGAAAATGGAGGAAGCCAAACTAGAAGCTGAAAAAATCAAGAAACTGAAAACCATGTTCAAAGGACTCAAATTCTTCATCAACAGGGAAGTGCCTAGGGAGCCTTTAGTTTTCATTATCCGCTGCTTTGGTGGTGAAGTGTCTTGGGACAAGGACCACTTTGTTGGAGCTTCATTTGATGAAACAGATGAGAGCATTGCTTACCAAATTGTTGACAGACCCAGTATGGATAAACAATATCTGTCTCGATATTATGTGCAACCCCAATGGGTGTTTGACAGTGTCAATGCTAGGACTCTGCTGCCTATCAACAAATATTTGATGGGTGCAGTTCTGCCACCCCATCTTTCACCATTTGTTGACAAAACTAAGGATCAAGTTTACATGCCTCCTGAAGAGAGGGCACTCAATGAACCTAACTTCAAACCTCTCAGTGAGTATTACTTGATTAGCATCCCTTTACATCTACAATTTTAATTTTTTTTATTTCATAATTTGTATGAAATTGTGACTTTGTTTTCAATTTTTATTTCAATTTACCAGATGAGGATGAATCAGGCAGTGAAATTGAGGAAGCCAGTGATGAGGACAAAGAGGAAGAGGAACAGGATTCTGAGGAAGATGGTGATGCTGAAGCAGCTCTAGCTAAACAGTACCAACAGGAAGTAGAAGAGGATTCGGACTCCGATGAAGATCAGGATAGTGGTTTAGACCCTGAGAAGAAGAAGTTGGCTAAAGAAAAGGTAAAATTCTTGTAGTACAGTTCCCTCATGCTTCAAATACTACCTACCTAAATATCTCTGTGATCATGATGTTTTACAACTTTACAAAAAAATAGAAATGTTTGTTTTTCACTCAATTATGTGAAAAGAACTAAATTGATTTAATTCTATTTTGTTATAATAAAATATTAGGATCTCAAGCATGAGACAAAAGTTGCTTAATCTGTGGAGTGTCAGAACACAGATCTACAGACAGATACGAGCTTAAGTATATATCTATTTTCACGTTTTTTTCTACCTTATTACAGAAAAAGGCAATGGCAGTCACTGCTGGTGTGCCTCATAAAGAGCACCCCTACCAGAAGGAAATAGAAGACAAGCAAGCCTTCAGACTCAGAGAGAAACTTGTCCGTAAGAAGCACAGGAACCTTTACAAGAGCATGAAGGCCGGACAGGAGAAGCGCAAGAAGGAAATATGGTTGCTAAGGAAAAAGAGACGTCTACATGACGAAAAGGAGAAGGAAGACAAGAAAGCAGAAAAACGCAAACAAAGGATGCAAGCATTGGAAGCTTCCACATAAACAATAAATAAACAAACAACCATTCAAAATAATCGTTTCTTTTTATTTCCGTATTGTGCTAAATAATTTTATAGTTTATTTACATCATAATATAAAAACAAGGAAATTTCCTTCGAATAACAATGAAACAAGACATTCAATAATATTTGTCAAAAAGTAACAATTACTTTGGTACTATCAGATTATGGCTTATCACATTAATTTATGTATAAGTTAAGTACCAATGTAGATGTACCAGACGTTCAATAAAAATAAATCAATATCTATAATGTACAAAACATTGTTACTATGTAAATATGCTGACACTGCACGTCCCACTAAGTTGAGCAGATCAAAGTATGTTTGAAATTCTTTTAGAAATAATTTCACTAACATAATCGTCTTTTGAACAAGAACAACGATTGGTTTTAGTACTGCAACACTAAATTAATTTTGTATGCATTTATAGTCGTCCATAAGTCTAAATTAAATTATTTAAAAAGGATAACGTCATGACGACTTTTAAATTAACAATACTTATCTCCAAAAATAACAGAAATAATGTACCTACAAGTCAATCTGTACCAAACCTGCCGCGGTTTTAAATAATTAATGTGTGTAGTAAGAAAATACATTTCTATCAGCCAGTACTCATTTTATGTATTGTTAAAGCAGTCCTATCTATTTAAATAAATATCTATTTCCATATTTTTGTAGCGGGATAGTGGCCAAACATTGGCCCATCAAATATTTTTAAAGTGGAAGAACTTTCATCTCGAGTATATTTGTCGTATATTTTACTATGCTAGTATGAATGGACAGAAATCAATAAATTAATCATAATTATCCTAATCAGAGTCGCTGTCGCCTTCTGCGTCACTGTCTTCCAGCTCTGGCATAGGAAAACGTAGAACGGCTGCTATTCCAGTCAATTGGTCTAACTCTGAAAAAATTAATAATATTAAATGGAATCTAAAATAAACATAATAGAGGTAATAGAACAATTTTGCAAAGAATAGTAGAATAGCTAGTTTAAATATATTTTAGTTTTAGACTTATCATATTCTGCATAATATGTCGTAATATAAGGGATTGAGCCAGTGAGTAGAGTGAGTCATCTAACTGAATAGTACTTATGTTATTTTCCATTATTCTATTGTAAAATATAAATTATACTCACGTTCCCCAGATACATGCATGCTAGAGAAAATCCTCACTTCACCTCCATTCTCTCGAACTGCATCAACTAGAGCTACATACTCTTTCCTTTGCTGTATATCTTGACACCTAAAAACAACACATCCAGTGTATTAAAAAGTAAGGTCAAAATTAAACATTTGAAGTAATTTATGAGCACCTTAAGTTCTTAGTGATTGTGATTCAAGATAATTAAGTTGACTTTAGAGTTTCCCCCTCATTAAGAGTATATAAACAGAGTCCTTAGTACAAGATTGTTTCACGTTTAAAGTAATCGAAACGAGTACGCGTTCGGCACTCTGATTGGCCGGCGCCGATAAACCAACCAATCAGAGCGCCTCTGTACAGTTGAACACATCTGCGGTCTGTATCATTTTGTTCCATTTAAAAAGAGAACAGAACTTACCTAAACAGTTTGTCAGAAATCATTAAAGTCTCAATGGCTAAAGCCTCATTTGCTCGTTCAATGTGCTTCTTCCCATAGAAAGCTTTTGCTGGCTCAAGTTGCAACATAGTGTAAAAATTCTCCAGTAGTTTAACTTCACTGGCAGCCTTCGTGTCCGATATTTTGGCCATTACAGCCGGTTCTTGTAATACCTCTGAAATAATACATTGATATTGACAATTTTATTAATATAATATACAATTTTATTATATAATAGATATTATATATCTATTTTTAACAAACAGAAACTCAAACTTAACCAAAGATGTAGTTATTATCACATCTGTTTTTCAAGGTTAACTTAATAATACAATTACCATTGACAGGCCTTATTGCAGACTATATAGATTACGTAATATTATGAATGATAAAGAGTTACCTAATCATTTTTAGCATTGATAGGAAATTTTATATGATTAATAAACTAATTAACCAGTAACCACAACATAAAAGATACAATCTTTTTATAATAAACTATCATGAGACATACTGAATTAACTAAAAAATATGACTTATTCACGTAAATATACCGAAAACAGCTCTACTAGCTGCTCATGAGGAATAGTCCCCATGTGACTCGTAAAACCTTTTTCAGTATGTTTACGCGAGTAGCTCCTCATTTTAAGCTAATATAAGATTCAAGTGCCGATTTGAACATCATCATTGAGAAGAATATTTAATTAATTACATTGGTACTTAACTAACGAGCAGAAATTATAATACACAAACCTTTTAATGAGTGTTTAAAGCCCGAGGAAGCCTTGACTAATAAGAATCTACTTTTATTGTCAATTAACAGTTTATTATCAGTTTTCACAGCTTGTTGCATCATATACTCAAAGAACTGATCCTTTACAAATCCCGGTGATGCAACAATTACACATTTGACAATGTTGAAGTCTACATGCCTCAAGATTGCTTGCATTACAGCATCATAGAATTTGTTTAGACCCTGTAACATAAAAATATTTTTTTTCACTTAATTATTACATACTGTATTATTTTCATAGATCATAAATAGCTTTAATAGGTAAACTAGGTACATAAAGATTCTATATTTGCAGGTTTCATAGTATGTGAATTTCGATCTTTTATAAATCTACACTAATAGTATAAAGAAAGATTAGATTTTTTTTTTTAATGGAACCTGCTCCAAATCTACCAGACTGATTTGAAAAATTCTTTTACTGTTGGAATCCTACATTGTCAATGATGAACAACCTATATTAATAAGATTAAAAAGGGTCCTTTTCGATAATGTACCCCAATTTGTGAAAAAACTACCAAAAATCTCCTTATATTGCTTAAACTGTCAAACACCAAGCGGTCACCGGTGACCGCAACCTATTGTTCTTTAATTGTGTCTATAAATACGGTACTCGACGAGTTGAGCCTTTGACTACCAATCTAACCAATCGTAATAAGAAAAAATCACATCATAGAGTTTCAATAAGGTTGAGTACCGTACAGTTAAAAAACCAATATAAAAGTAAATTACTCACCTTTTCATGTTGTTGAACAAATCCTTTTCGTTTCCTAGGGATAGTAATATCAATCTTTGATCTGACCAAAGTCATTGAGGGTGTGATCAGACAAACATGAGCTAGGCCCTCCTGCATCACTACTGCAGCCACATCGGCACTAGCCGCTGGATCACAAGCCATCTCTACCCTCTCCAAAGCCACTGAGTCCCATAATGGTTTTTGTAAAGTGAATTTTCTATTTAATTCTAAATCTAATGTGTGGTACGCACCCATCTGAAAGAGATTTATGGGTGTTATGGATAGTTGCATTGCACATGATGTAATTATTACTTCATCTGATCAGATGTTAGGATTTTCCGGTAAAAACTGAGGAAAACTTTTAAACTTACCTTTACATATTGGTTCTCCACAATATTGCGTCCCTTCAACCTCAGCACACATGCCTGAGTATCAAAATCGATGGTCTCCACAGTAATGGTGAGGGTGGTCCTCACACGATTGCTGGTTGATGAACCCGTGGAGGATTCAGTCTGAACTTTCCGAACAGTGGACGCTGTGACCGCATCACCCACAGCAACCAGATTGTAGGCATGCCACATGTCTTCAGACTCCTCAGGGACAAGGCCGATACTCCTGGAGAACATACAAACATAAAAATAACTAAATATCATAAGTACTTTTTACCGAAGTTAACCGCAAGACTAGAAACGTAAAAATCTGAAATACAACCAAACTAACCCGCATCCATCCCTTTCGATACTTTTAAATACGAGCTTCATTTTTCCTTTAACCTCTCATTTACTTTAACATTATTTATCCACAGACGTGACCATAAAGGATAGGTTTTTCAAACTTTACTTGTTTAGGAATCATTAATGAAACAAGTAAATAATATGCTTGAAAAGATTGCTCTCGAGTTGCGACTTGCGACTTGCGAGAAAAACTTTGATTTGATGACACAATAGACATTGACAAGATGAAGCTGTCAAAAAGTAGTCATCAATGTAGCTTGACTCATGACTGGGCATATTAGCTTTTTGCTCACTCAGATCATATGTTGAAGAAAAGGCCAATACTGCTGATTTCTAATAAGTGAACAAAATACAACTTGTATTTTTATCGCGAATAGTTACTAATAGTCTACGGTTTACAGTCCAAAACGAAAGCTTAAACTCAAAATTGAAAATTGGCATGTTAACTAAACGTTGCCTCTAATTTGCTTCAACAAATTCAAATGATACAAACGAATTAACGAAACGTAACTTTGAAGTTTTGAACGAAGGGGAGGACGGATGAGTTTATTGTATTGCATTTGCGTTCGTATATTTTGTTTTCTATTAGCTAACGGCTTGTTTCATTTTGAGTGTCTTCTTCAATCAGTGTTATTTGTTTAAATATTGGTGTATATTCATATATATTGTATGACATTTGTCCGTTAAATGTAATTAGATAATGTGTGTGTAGTGGCAGTGATAACGTCAACGGTCAAGCTCAGCTGGTCCCGTCCGACGAGCGGTAAAAATCTCGCGAGTTTTTCTTTACCTTGCCTTACACAGGTAGCACTTTTCGTGCTCCATTTCTCCAAGGTATGCCGTTACATTTTTTTTAAATAACACGCTTACTTAGATACACTAAACGTAAAGAGTAACATTAACACGTAGAGATTAAATGTATATTATCAATTAGTGTTATTATTTATACACGTGTTAATACGACCACGGTGCTTATTTTACAATATAACGTGTAGGGTTTTTACACACGAAACCACGGTATTTTTGTTTATCTTTACTTACAACGACGCACTGGCCGTGATCCAGATTACGTGTCGTCTTATTGCGCGGGAACTCGCGATATTTTTAGTATATTAGTCGCACGATGATTTAAAATGCGTCGTGTAACTAACATTACTATAAAGAAACCCCTTTTCAGTAAAATAATGTAGCTTGACTCTGAAACGTGAGTTATAAAGTGTTTGAGTGAAAAAAAAATGAGTGAGACCCAAGAGACCCAACAACTGCCGCCGCCGGACCCGGCAGCTGCTCCCCCTGCACCACCGTCATCCACGTCTTCAGAGAATGCATCACTTGCCAGCACAGCAACCTCCCCTGTCACCAAGCCAGCTGACTCCACAAGACCATCTTCTTTGCCTAAACCATCCGGCTTGAAGCCACCCTCTAAGATTGGTCGGCTCTGCTCCAACTCTGCGCCTAAACCTGCCGTGCCCATCTCCCCCAGAACTGGTGAGTGTTAAAATTTTTATTCCTTATTAATACCTGCAGGTAACCTATCCTTAAAATACTAGGTAGTTTGACTTTTAACACTTTAACAAAGAGGTCATTAATACAATAATTTGTAATTATATGGGTAACCTAAAGATAAGAGCACTATGATGCTTTATTGACAAACTGCAATTGACAAGATTTCTAAGTATTATCATATATTTTGTATTATTCTATTATTACTGGTATATGCCTGTTTGCCTAATTTATTTTCTGTATTTAAGCAATGTTCAATGTTTCATAAATCATTCATTTAAGGCAGAGTTTCACAAGTTGGTTTGATGAGATGTCAATTAAAATTTGTCTGTCAGTTTATTGGACTAACCATTATATTGAATCCAAGTGCTCAAGAGACAGACAAGGCCACTGGGGAATGGCTAATTGAATGTCAATGTGACCACATTTTGTTTGAACTTGTACATTTGACCGGTTTATTCAAGCACCATTTATCCTAGGAATTTATTTATTAAGCGCTGATACACACATTTAAATATTTACTATTCATGTTGCAATGTGCTTGTCCTAGTTATTGCAGGCGCAATGTATCACGATAACGTGGCGCATTATTAAACGCGCGTGTCTAGATTATATTGAACTTTTAGCACTGGCCTTTATGGAACCTATCAAGTGTCAAATAATTGAAAGTGCCAAATTATATTTTGATGCTATTGCTACAAATCAATTTACAGAGGCTGTAATTTCACTTCCGACAAGTTTCCCTCGTTTGTTGAACTATGTCGCCTAGAAAAAGTCGGAATTGTTGAAAATGAACTGCTGCAGTCTGCAAAAGTACGAACATTTCAAATCGTTATCCAGTGATTACACTCATCATCATATTATTTGTATACATGTTTATCTATATCATAATGTTATCAGAGAAATAGTAAAACAATATTAATCTTCGAATACGATAGCGAAAGTAAACGGTACATTGTTCGATCGAATAATAAGTGTTGCATTAGGTCATTCCTTATTATATCGATGAGATGCAAAATGACCTCAGATCTCTCAGGATCATCTTATAATCACAAACACGTCGTCGAAAATACACGACCTTGAGCATTATGAAGAGAAACCAGTTTTCTAAAATAACTAGTTGTTTATCGTCCGCGCCGCGCATCGCTTTATCGATTAATAAAATTACTTAATTAAATCGATTCATTCGATTCATCTTTATTACCGATATTATATCACATGAATCAATTTGCAAAATGACTTGTGTAAATATTTGAGATAGAATTGAAAGTGAAAATTTGTCTTTATTTTTTATTATTTTTGCCCATGCTATGATGCCTAACCGTTGGTAAGTTTCACCCGTATTATGTCCAATGGTCGATGGTCCATTTGCGACGGCTCGTGACTGTGCTCGACCAATCGTCGTTGTCAGATTCGTAGCAGTAATCGCCGTTTTCACTTCAACGTGCATGAGTAAGCTTTTAAAAAAACACACAGTTGCTCTTCCGTTTTCAAAATGTCCGTACCATAAAATCTAACAACATTTTTCTCTCGTAAAATTTGTTAACTATTACGACTGAAGCCAAATGTTAAATATGAGACAATAATAACAGAGAAATAGTAATTACTTCATTAATAAATACGTAAACACACAATTTAAATTGTTAGTAAATAATTAGTTAATGAAAACGTCAAGAAAAATTCACAAATGACGCGAGTCAATGTTAGGTAAACACTATCGGCTTTAGTTCCGGCTAATAATAATACCAAAGCACTCAGACTTACTATAATTACAATTATCTATTTGAATGCAATTTAATTACAATACTAATTGTAAAGAATTGCAAAGTTAATTGCCGAAAAGACCTGAAAGGCTGAAACCAAACACTCCATTTCGGTATCTTATTTTGTTCGACCATTTATTTAAAAGCACACAACAAAAGACTTAGTTAAATACTTATTTGTTAATTATTATCAGATATCTCATTTCAACATTAACCGTGACACACTAACAATGAAACTTGGTCGTTAGTCATGTGTCAATTCTCTCGAAAATAAGAAAAAAAATAACATGATCCAGTTTTTAAAAGTAAACGTCCAATGTTTATGGTTTTTACGATGCTGCCGACACTACAATTCCAACTAGAGATTGGCAAAAAAATGTTCCTGTTATAACATTACCGGTTTTTAATACGACCTTCAGTTTACTGTTAAATATTAAAGTAACTGCTTAGTGCTGCTTATACCTACATACCTTTGAGGACCGTTACTTTGATTGCAGCTGGGAAACTGACTACATTATTATTTTACTGCAATTGAGGTGTGTTAAGCTAATTGATAATATTATTTAATTAAAAATACACTGGATATTTTCGACCATAAAATCTATAATACGATGAACCGAATTGCGTTACGAACAGGATGAAGTTTTTCGATTCGATAAATTGGCGATAAGCGAAGAGTGGACAAAAACAATAATTAGTTACTGAGCAATTTCCTTTTTATTATAATTAGTGTTCGCGTTGACGACGCTTGTTTCGTCAGTCGAATCGTCAACGATATAGTAATAGTAACGTCAATGTTATAGTAACGTAATAGAGAATAGCGTTTCCATGTTTTGTTTGTTTGGGTCTTACAATTCGTCTTCCATTGTTCGTGTACACTTTCACCGAGCCGTGACGTGCGCTTGCTCCGATGCTTCCACGACTGTTCTTGATCTGCTTTATATTACCATACACCGAGAACCACTTATAAAGGAGTTCACAAACACTGAAGTTTCAAACGCTTTTAAATGAATTCTGTATAAAAAACCATATCTCTTCCCAATGTACGATTTGATAGCCAAAACTATTTAAATAATGAGCTCGATAACTCCGTATTCTATTATTCCATATCGTAACCATAAATAAAATGTATTTTTCGTTAAATATACTTCTTAAATTTCAGGACTAATTTATTTATCGTGTCTAGTAGTAAAGACGAAATAAATCACGCGAAGGTTAAAGGCAATGTTAGAGGTAAAATAAGTTTAGCCCCAAGAGGTTACTTTGGAGCCTTCGTTCCGTTACCTATGTGACCTTATTTGTCACCCGCACGTACTAAGATTTACGAATGCGAAATCAAGTGCAAAATTGACGTTTAAATTGATGATTCAATAAAAAAATAGGACTTTATTGGTAAATTCGATTATCAATTTATTTAGATTTAGAACTCTTGAAAATAACGTTAGAACCATAATTGATAACGAAACAACAAATGCAGGGGAACAACAAATAAGTATGCAATGCACACATAAGTTCTCACAAAATAAGGAGATTTTAGTGCGGAACTGATCGACATGGTAACCTCTTAAGGTTTGTCTGGCGCACCTAAAGTTCGTCGGCTTATTATAGTCCCTACACAGGTAGCAACGGTAATAGGGTTAACGGTTGCAATCGTCCTACAATGATGGGCTATCTACCAATCATTACTTATGCATTGTCGCAGCCTTTTGATCGTAACCGTAAATGGTTTCCATAAGTGATAATCTATTTGACGTTGGTCTTTGTACCGCAAAGTTCTCCCACTTACTATTGCAGAAAGTAGACCTCTTTGTGCAAGTAACCACACAATACAGTAGGTGTGTCCATTCACTTCATCTCTGTACATAAATAAAGTAAGAAGATGAAAATAAGATCGTGTTTTCTAGAATTAACTCTTTCAGAGTTAAAGTATTTGTGTTTGACTTATCATATGAAAGACGCCTGCAAATATTTAAAGAACTGTAAACATTATTTTATATCTACGTTTTACTTGAGGTTAGTGCTATCTAATCTTGACAGCGCTTCAAAATAAACTCGCATTGGCCACGCAGATAGCATCGTAACGCCATTATTTTGGTCTAAGTTAACGAGTGCTACGGTGGTAGTCAATTCCACAGTAATGCTTTCTAAAGTTAAGCTATTGTTCAAGGCGTCGCATCAATCAATTGCCATGACTGACGGTTCGGTGCCGGAGCCACCATGTACGTCACCGCGTCTGGCTCGGAAAATGCGTGATGAAAATACTTTTCTTTGCAAAACTTTTTCCTTATATGACTTCCTATTTCACTCAACTCATCATCAACTGATAGTAATATTTTATTACAATACTTTATCTATTTCATATTTTGCAATGTGTATTTTGTATTTATTAGAATATTTCATTCATATTTGTATGGTGTGGAAAAGCGATAGCTCTGCATTTTCAAAATACGCTTGTGAATCAGCACTAAAACAATAGGGAAACTACGTCAATAACCAATACTGATTGGCCAAGTATTTCGCCATCGCAATCGTTGGGCACAGCTTATTATCTGTTACGATTATTAGCATCCGCGCGGATGTCGTAATCAAGTTCCATAAGCCGATGTTCCTTTGATCGTAACCGACCGACTTATATTCCATCGTGTTATGTGTATATACTTTATTTATTTACATTCCATGCAAACTGGCACGCAAACTCAATTGAATCTCAAGATTGTTAGTTGGTTTATAATTAAATTACAATATCTATTGAACGGTCTTCGGTTGCGGTGCGTGCCTGCAATCAAAACAATATTGAATTCTGCAGATCTGCAAGTGGTCTGCCTTGAGCGTAAACATTCTAAGATTGGAACGTACAGACTGACATTTCCACCAAATGTCAGCTTGTGCACTAGGACAATCATATATTGGTACCGCTAATAAATAAAAATACAATAAAATACTTATGCGCAAATTGACTTGGTTAGGACCAAGTCAATTTGCGCATAAATATTTTATTGTTGATCAAAAACAACTTAGAAAATCACGAACAAAAACAATCTATAAATCATTGATAGCCTTGGTAGGTAATTAAGATGCCAATTTGCAGGCTTTGTAGCTGCATAAATGACACAACTTGGATTTTCTTTCTTCTATCAGGCTCCTCAGGCCTCGATGTCGTTTTGATCCTATACAAGTAAAATTCTAATACTTAATAACTACATAGTATAAAACGAAGTTGCT